CTACCATTTGTGTGTATTTTCATGGGTCCTGTGAGCTCTTGAAAAGCGCCATCGAAGGCGCGATCATGAGGAGGAATGGCACGGTTCACGTGCACCCATGATCGATGTTATAGATCACGAAATGAGTCACCGACCCCGCACCGCGTTTCCGGATCTTGGACAGTTCGTTGAGGTATATCCCTCGCTTCGTCGTCGACAAAACTCATCGAGGTCCCGACAATAGTCATCGATATCGACATAGACGATGGACACGGGAGTACACAACAAATTCAGCGTCGGCGGCCAGCACGAACCCGCCCCCGGTAGCTACACATCGTCCTACAGCGCCAGCGTCGTCGACGAGGACGAGGAGGACGAGGAGGACTACGTCTCTGGCGGCTACCACCCTGTCCATATCGGCGACAGGTTCTCGTCCGAGCGCTACGTTGTAGTACGCAAACTCGGATGGGGCCACTTCTCCACCGTCTGGCTCGCTCGAGACGAGCAGCGTGCGCGGCACGTCGCTCTCAAAGTCGTCAAGTCCGCACCTCGGTACACCGAGACCGCCATCGATGAGATCAAGCTTCTCCAAGCACTCATAACGCCCAATGTGCGACATAAGGGCACCGCTGATGCCGAGGAGTGAGTGGTGCACGTTTTGCGCGTTGTTGACATGTATTGACAACGTTTTGTTGGATTACAGCCCGACCTTACATCCCGGCCGATCCCACGTGATAGCGTTCCTCGACCACTTCCGGCACACTGGACCCAACGGTGTGCACGTATGCATGGTCTTCGAGGTGCTCGGTGAGAATCTGCTCGGCCTCCTGCGCCGCCACCAGAAAGCAGGTGTGCCCATGCACCTTGTGCGCCAGATTGCTAGGCAGATCCTGCTCGGCCTCGACTACATGCACCGCGTCTGTGGCGTCATCCACACAGATATCAAGCCGGAGAATGTGCTTGTAGCAATTGACGACGTTGAGGGTATCGTCCGCGCTGAGCTCGCGTTGCAGGACGCGCAGGAGCACGATCACCCGCATGCACCTCGCATGATCGGTGTCCCACCCTCCACCGGTCGTGGTGGCAATCAGACACCGCGATCTGAAAGCGTCTTCATCACCGGCTCAAGGCCGCTGTCCAGCCCATCAAGTTCGTCAAGTCTCAGCAGCATGTGGGACGTGGGGAGTATCCCGGGTAGTGAGTGTCGTCTATATTTCGTTTTCGTCTTACCACTATCTATTACGGTGCTCTCGTTGCTTTTTCGCTATTACATTGCACTTCCTTTGCCTGCGTACTACTCGTCCTTTACATTACCCCCCTTCGAAAAGGGTATCCACTTGCTAATTATTCTTTGTCTGGAAAAGCTTCTCTTTCCTCCACCGACTCGACACTAGACCGTTGGGGCTTCGGCATGACGAAGCTGGATGAGAGCAAAGGTGCCAAGGTAAGCGTGACATCTCTTATTCCGTCATGTTGCTTGTGTCTTGGGAACCCGTTTTTATGAACGAATCGCACTCATCACTATTGTCATTTTGTGTGGTGCAGCCAATATCGAAGTCAATCGATGCAGTGAAGACGGCCGATTCCCCTCAAAAGGTGTGTGTTTCACGTCTGCGCCTTGCAGTTTCCCCGTGTTGCCCAACTTCCAAATTTATTCTTCCCTTTACCTGACATCTCTCCCCCGTCTTCCCTTCGTCGCCGCCCTTTCCTTTGTCTGCCTCTCTTTTTAAGTTGCAGTTCATTGTGACTTTCGCTTTTCCGGCAGCTGGTTAGTCTTATTCCGCCAATCTGCGTTTTTTATGTTTTTACACATGTAATACCCTCCTTTCGTTCGTGACATTTGTTTTCCGGTGTTGGTTAGTTGCTTACTGTGGTATCCCCCAGAGCCACAAACCGCAACAGGATTCGCACGGCTCCCACAAGTCATCTGGAACGCACGGCTCTGTGAGCGGTGTTGCAAACAACGATGCACATAAGAGTGGTGGCGCCCATAAGCATGCCCTGACGAGACCAGGTGGATGACTTTTTTCTCTTTCAGTTTCTTTTCTTGTTTTTTCTTCTATCATATCCTCCCTGTCTCGCTTGGAACATACATCTCCACCGTGCCTGTTGTCTTGTTAATCGCGTCTGCCGTTTTCATCTGAGCTGTCGTCCTCGATCTCATTCTCGTTTTTTGGTTTTTTATCATCTATTATCTCGCCTTACCTACTCGCACGTGCGCGTATGGCTTATGATCTTCTGTCCAGACGAAACCACAGTTCAGGCAGCAATGACGGCACAGGTGCTGGACGAGGCCGCGCACGTGCTAGGCAATATAAACCTCGTGCGTTGAACTACCTTCGCGCGAATGAAGTGCTGACAATACCTTCCCTTTTTTGGATCGATTTGTTTACATTGATATGTCTTTCTGGTGCATTTTGATCTTCCATTCTCCGTGTCATTTTTTCCTTCCTTTATGCGAACGTCACGTGTTCCATGTTCGGACACGTTGATTTGCACTGGCATGGCGTCCGCAGTCTGCTCCTCCGCCACACCCTGCTGGCCCACGAGGTCCTAGTCTACTTACACAGCAACTGTCCTCATGTATGTTCGACTTTTGTCACTTTGATCAAGCTGACGGTGCTTTGGTCCACGCCCTTTCACCTGATGTCGACGCTCACCTTCTTGGCTTGCTAGCTACGACTCCTGGCGTGTCAACGTCCGACACGTCATCCGCCACCGCCACTACGTTTGCCGCACCGACAACACCGACGCAGAGTGGCCACCTGCCTACGCCGGGCAGCGCGGTATCGTCAGGCAGCATTCTGTCCCCGCCAAGTGCGACGTCGCAAGGTGTGCCGGGAGTGCTTTCGCCGGCAGAGGAGCACATCTCGGTGAAGATCGCGGATCTGGGCAATGGTGCGCACGACGCGCCAGTCTAGGTGGTCTCCTGGTAGCTGACGATGCTTCGTGTCTTTTTTTTGTGACACGTTGTGAACGAACAGCCACCTGGACAACACACCACTTCACAGATGACATTCAGACTCGACAATATCGTGCACCGGAAGTCATTCTCGGTGCCAAGTGGGGGACGAGCGCGGACGTTTGGAGCGTCGCTTGTTTGGTCAGTGCCGATTCAGTCTTACCACCTCGTGGTAATAACCTCTTGCTTTTATCTCCGACTCGTTCTTCTATCGGCATTGCTGCGCTTGTTGATATACCTTGCTAATACTATCTTTTAGTTGTTCGAGCTCATCACGGGTGGTGACTACCTATTTGATCCCGCGAGCGGCACGAAGTACAGGTGTGCATGTCTTGTCAACAACACAGCAGGGCATATACTGACGAATTTTATCTCCTTTCCTGTTCTCATGCATTTGTTTTACTCGTTTTCGTGCCACGTCCACCTCCTTTTACCCCGCCGTCATCTTTGTATACCTGACTGTCCATGTGTCGCGTCGTCCGCTTCAATGTATCACGCAAGCAGCAAGGATGACGATCATATCGCACAAATCATGGAACTGATGGGCGAAATCCCTGCTAGTGTGCGCTTTGGCGGCAAATACACGTCCGAATTCTTCAACCGGAGAGGTGTGTGCAGAGCTTCATTTCCATCCTCAACGTGGTTTGATCCTATCCTTGTGCACCTCCGTCGACCTTTTCTACCCTTTCGCGCCTTTCTTGTACACTATTTTGATCTCGTCGAATAGTCCTTTGCGTTTTCAGCGGTCGTTCTGACTTTGATTTTTAATAGGCGAGCTACGGCGTATAAGCAAGTTGCGCTATTGGCCCCTGGATTCTGTGTTGCGCGAAAAATACCGCTTTCCACCTGCGGAAGCAGTCGCACTATCGGCGTTCCTTGTGCCGATGTTAAATTTGCATCCGGAACGGAGGTGAGTCGACACTGTCATGCCTGCTCCAACACCGTTCCGTGCGACGACCTTGTTGCCGAGATTGACTCTTGATTTCTGTTTCTTTCACTTATGATGTATCTGATGTATCTTCTTAGAGCTTCCGCCGGTGAAATGGCACGACACAAATGGTTGGAGGGTGTCGTCGTACAAGGCGATACCGATGTAGCACGGCGAATACAGGAGTTGACGGAGCCCTCCGCCGACACACAGGACTCGGACGGCAATGTGTCAGGTAGGCGACGTCTCCTCTAAACAAAGTTGGTTTTCTGATAATCTGAATGTATACCAGGCGAACAACGCGTAGGGCATTCGACGTCAACAAGTAAGTTGTCACGCTCATGTATTGCAATTTTGTGTTCCTTTTTTTTTTGCTTGGCTCGTCTATTCCGTTGCTTTTATATTGTGGCGTCGATCGTCGGATGGCACAGAGGTGTTAGTTGCCCACTGGTTCCGTCTTCCGTGATCATCGTCACATCGCCAATCAATTGACCTTGTTTCTGCTGTGGCAGGTAGAGTTACTGATGCTATCTTCCTGTTTCTATCTCGCAGAGTTTTCTCTTCGATTTGTTCGTCCTCGTCCCGTATCCCAATTGACTAACGGCCTGTTTAGGCAAGGACGCCATGAAGTGTGTTGAGGAGTAATCCGCCATCCCTTCGTTTTCCGGCTGCGCCGGTTCATCACTACGCCCACACGCATACGATTTGTACTTTATCCGATAGAGGACAGCTCGTTGACTGCAGGCTTTCCTCTCGGCCGGGATGTTTCGCGTTTGCATAGCTGTTCGTGGTGTGTGTGCTCATCTATATTTTTTTTCATGAAACGTGCGTTATATATATAATATTGTGCGTCATGTCCGTGTACTCTCCTCGCATCTTGATGACCTAGCACGCTCTTGCATGTTGCGTACGCCATGTTGTTAGTTGTTGCATAAACCTCATACCCACAACTCTTGCGGGTTGTATACTTAGCCTGCTTTGTGTCCGCACGCGTTCTATACATAATATACTTTTCTTTTCTTTTGCGAAGATGGTTCAGGCTTATTGCCTCATTTTTCCTGTATCATCATGTGGCGGCCGCGGCCCCAGTAAAGGCCATTCATGTATCTCGTCCACCTGTTCGTCTATTAGGCATTAATGGGGTAGTGGTAACCTGGGTCGTTGCCATATGGGTTCAACTCGAATTCTTCGACCCGCCGGGGGTTCGATTCCCCCTTAATGCATTTGTATTTTCAACTTATTTTGTGTTCCGTATATCGCTCTGTTGTCCGCTTTGCAGTTGGCTCCCATGACATTGCCATATAAAAAATCAGGCACAAGCTGGATGGTATGCTGACAATGTAGGTCACAACATAACAACAGACTGCACCCGGAGCTTGTACAATCCAATAATGCTCATCACGTGAGTTCAAATCTGCGCATCCCGCAAAATTCAATCCTGCTATCGGTTCGGTGCGTTTTCCATCGAACGGAAGTACCACTGAATACCTCGACTGCGACAACCGACATTGCTCTTCAACGTAGCCCGTAATTCGGCAAAATGGAGCCGCTATGTGCGATGTATGATGGTTGTTCAGATAATGTGTACTTTTTTGAGACAGGCGTTGTCACCAGTCACGACGCCTGTTGTTTAGTTCTCAATTTTGCTGAGACCGTTCTCTTTGGCAGCTCACAAGTCTCCTTGCAGGTTCCATGATGTTGTAGCCAACGCTCGGAAAATGGGGTGCCTCACCACTGTAGGAGCTCGTCGAAACATGATGAAAAAAGGTAGTAATGGCGGTATGTGGTGCAGAACGCACGAAGCCGGCAGTGTGGGCTAGTGGGGGTCGGTGCTTGATTGGGATAGATATTTCATGTAAGCGAATGCTCAGCTACAAAGTCAGCAGGCAGAACCATTTAACTTTTGAGCATCGAGTGCTAGGACGGATGCAACGAGACGAATCATGATTGGGACTCTCAGGCTGGAGCAGAATCCATTTTTGAGAACATGCATTGCGACAACACCCCGTTTGTCGCCATTGCGCTAAGACTTGCTCAACCTTCGGGTGAACATTGGAAAACGTCCATTCCCAAGGTTGTGTGAAGCGCGGGATTCTCCGGAAACGTCTCCACGCGCCGTCTCGCCCCGGAGAGACATCTGCCCTCGAAAGCTCTGTGCTTATCATTTACTTTGGATTGGTGTTGTACTTCCCTCGCGATTCATGTTGCTTCGTTATTGGTAACGGCTGACGCAAGATCTGATATGCCTTACCAGGTTGGGTAGCCATGCGAATATCTGAATGACCTATCTTGGGAGCCGGGATCGCGCTTGTCCACTTTTTTTGTATGTTTTTTAAATTTGTCAACTGTATAGTGTTAGCTGAATCTTACAGGCAACATCTGCACCAGACGCGCTACCACCGATCTTGACCATCGGCTCAAATGCTTTACGTGGCACAGCGGAATGAATAGTCCATGTGCTTCTGATGGTTTCGTATATTGTGTTATTGAAAGGTTCGTGCTTGCAATGCCCGAACGATGATTTGGAGTTTTAAACGTGATCAATCCTATCGAACGGTTGTCGCTGCATGCTCACCCGTCGCGTTCCAGTAATGAGAATCGTCTTCGAGAGATGATAACCACTGCCTTCTGCAGGTGTGTGCTGTCCCGCACTGAATTTACAGCGAAGTTCTGCAGCAACGCAATCTATCCCAGCTACATGCGCTCTTCTCCCTATCACATCTCGAGCGCACATGTCGCTTACCGCTGTGTCGCGATACGCGACGACCTGCGCGGCTGCATGACCTGGTATGTTTTCAGTATAAAAGCTTAAAGCCACTTGTCATCTAACCAGCTCAAGGTTCCTTTGATCCTTACAGCCCTTCAGTGCGAAAGACTGGTTTCACGTCTTCAAAAGTTCGCAATGGTTTCCTTCGCCCTGCTCCTGACCTTCGCGACAGCAGCTTTGGCTGCTCCTCGTGGCCGTAACCTCGCTCAACGTGTCGCTGGCCGCCAGGCCGGTACTCGCCAGTCTCTCCCCATGCAGCAGGACGACGGCCCAACGAATCAGACAGACGCCACGTACAGCACCAATTGGGCCGGCGCCGTGCTCGTCGCTGATTCTGTTCGTACTAGACACATTTATCTGCGAAGAGGTGCTAATGTACTGTCGTTTAGGCCGAGTATACGTCCGTTACGGGCACTTTTACGGTTCCATCGCCCTCTCTTCCCGACGATGCGCTTATTGGCGCTTACTCCGCCTCTGCCTGGGTTGGTATTGACGGCGACACTTGCGACACCGCGATTCTGCAGACCGGGGTTGACTTTACCATTCATGCACTCACCGGCGCCATCGACTACGACGGTATGTTCCAGGGCATATTTTTT